CCCCCTCTCCCCCATCAGCAACAGTTTTAAAATCAACTGGAGTCCCCACAAACCCCTCAGCATAGCCCCTGGTTGAATAATCCCGTGCCCGTCATGAACACTGGACTACTTTCCATCAACGAGACTCGATTTCTTGCAGTCGTCTTTTCTTTTTGACGGGTTTGCTTGGGGCTGATTGGACAAGTTGAGTGCAAACCGCTATTAATCTCTGTCTTATAACCTCAGGATGACCTAGATTGGAAAAAGAAAAAGGGGCAAAAATCTCCAGGAAAGGACATCCAGAGGTCTTTTTGTACTCTTTGCAGAACATTTGTTACAAATCAGTACAATGGAGTACTACGAACTACGTGCAGTAAACACATCTCTTCAGACTGCTATGGCACAATAAATTGAAGCTTCTTTTGAAAAAAATGTGTACTTCTATCATCTTTTGAGAAGATGAAATGCTCCCCACTGGAAAACCATCTTTAAAGATGACAAACATCTCAATTTACAGCAATTTCTTTCACAGAGGTGCACTTAAAGTGTAACTGATGTTTTTAAAAGGACGATTCCAAACGTGTTTTTTTTAAACAGATTTGAAGACAAATACATGTACTGTACATGTAATGCAATTACAAAGTACACGTAGAATATAATTTTCTACCTAAAGACACCTCAATCCATCGCAAAATCCCAAATAAACCTGTAGACAGGAAAAGGATAATGGAGAAATTATTTTCACGGCCAAAAAAAAAGAAAAGAGGTCGGATATTTTTGGGAAATACATAACTTTGGTAAGTGTTGAATTGCTGATACACATACTGGTGTTAGTGGGGTTTCATTTACAGTGCTCTGAACAGTACAGTAATTGTGTTATTCATAAGATGGAATTGACGTCAGGGGTGATGTAAATTCAATATTAAGTTTTGCCCTTCACAAACATATTAACACTGTACATGTTTACACTAAGTATAGTGTTTATACGTCAGTGAAGGGCAAATCTTAATACTGAAATTAATTTTGTCGTTACTCAAAAGTTGTTTGTGACTTTACAAATAAAGGTAAGCAGTCACTATTTCACAAGATACATCTTCCGTTATCTTAAAATTTGGTGGCTGGAACCCTTTAGCACAAGTTACATTGTACTACCCTGTATTTACTACTTCAAGGTACATATGGGGCGGTATAAGGAGTAACAAGCAGGCTGCTTTGGGGCAATACAGGAGGTAATGGATTATCCAACATTCCATCTGTGCATTATACAAACTACCATCACAAGAACACTGGACAGAGAAATGGTAAAACAGGGCACTCAAAAACACGCAACAGGTTTTGGAGTAACTCCAAGGAATATGAAGTCCACTTTCCTCCAGATTTCTTAAGAGCAGAAGTTCATGTCTCCAGTGGTTTGGGATTAAAACAAGACGACTATTCCACAGGATCTTCCTTTGATGGTGTCTGAAAAATGGGTCACTTGTCTCAGAGGCAGCTCATTTTCCTTCTGTTTTATCCACGACTTGTTCTCGGACAGGATGACATTTTCTATCCTCGTCCAAAACCTGAATTCCACCTGCAGCAGAAAATCAGGGACTTGCACCAAAGAGACAAGGAAGAGGTATTTTGGGGTCTTGACTTGGAAGGAAAAAAAAGTGTCTTGAAGAGCTGCAATCAAGTCCAGGAATGCTGGGGGCAGGAAATGCACTAAAACTCAACCCCCAACGACTGTCAGAATGAGCACAGAGGGGCAGGCAGGATGTTGCTGTATTTCTCCGCAAGAAATGTAGCAAAGATGTCCTTTTCTTCTTTGTTCCCTGGTCAATTAAATCCATTTAGGACATCACTCCAACTCTAGTGAACCAATATCTTGCTTCTTCCCCACTGATTAAAGGGGGCCCTTGGAGATAAGCTAGTTTGGTGGATCTAGGGGCTAAACAGCTAACTTATTGGTGAGAAATAAAGCTTTTAGTGGTCCCATTTCTTCAGGTTTTGCATATTCATGACACAAAAGGTTTTCCCCATCAATTAGGAGGGTCAAGCGACGATAGAACCATGCCATTGGCCAGTACTTACTGGCCAGCAGTACACTGAGGACCTACCGGCCACCGGCCAAAGCGGGGGACCGGTTTATCGGTCACCGGTGTCAAGTGACGAACCCTTCAAGCTGTGAGTGACAATCTGTCTGTGTGTGTAATGGACGACAGATACCAACTAATAATTCATCATTCACGATTGGCAGATTTTTTTTCTCTTTTACCCATGGAATAGTTTTGAAGACATGTCAAGATTGATGGCATTGCTCAAAGGAATTACAGAATCTGCCAAAGAAATTGTGGGTTTAGAGAAAACAAGTGTGTCAAGTCATACACTGACTTGGGGGCATTTTCTGATATAACTAGAAAACAAAGTTACTACACAAAGAAAACTTTGTGGTTAAATAGCAAAAGAAGTACCCCACATGCTAAATGTCATGTGATGTTCAGTACATGACTGGGTTTTGGCATTTTTTTAATGGGGTGGGGGATGTGGGGAGTCCCCCACACACTCATCATTTGGAGAAAACAAAAATGAGCTTTCTATTGTAAATAAAAATGCATCAAGAAAGTGAGGCCTCCTGCAAATTAGACCCGTTTTTGGTGGTTCTGCTGAAAGACAGAAAAAGCAGCTCAAAGCAAGGTTGGATACAATTATAATCAACAGTAAGCTCGTCTATGAACTCAATATACAAGCAAGTACCCTCCAGACAATGGACAACAAACATAACTACTACAGGAACCTTAATCTTGCCAAATCTTCCTAGTCTTTGCCACTGACCTGCATTGTGTCCCTAGCACTGGAGCTCCAGTGAGTGGTGAAATAGCGCCATCTACTGGTTTATGCTTCGAGTCAATAGACCTTATGCGTTAAGATGGGGTCAGAGGGCAATGGTTGTGTATTCATTGTTACTAGGTTATAGAACAAAAACAAACTCTCAGACACATGCAATGCATAGCTTTAAAAACAAATATTGTAAATCCCTGGATGCCGCAGATTCTCAAATGCAAATGGATGAAGTGGCTGTGAACCAGTGAAATGCAAGTGCCCTCCACTCACTGTATGTTGCTAGGACACAAAGCGCCCTCATTGTTCACTCACACAGCCACTAACAAACTGTAGCTAAACTGAATCTGCTCTTGCCCAGAAGTGCTTAAATGAAAATCACAAATTTTACGACTTTGTAAGGATGAACAATTGTTAGACTTTGACTTTAACTTCACACATATCTGATTTTTATTACATGTAACCACACTGCATTAACAGGACAATGCACTATTATCACTTCACACAATTTATACCATTTTAAAGGGAATGTACAACATTTGCTTTTGCTGCAATTTTCAGAAATAAATGGATTTGGAGGATTAGTATGTTATAGCAAATATTGTTCAACTGACTTGTTTCACATTTTGGGCTTGGTTATGCTGGAAAAACCAAGAAAACCAACCATTTTCTTGTAGTCTGGTTTCCCGACCCCACTTAAGATGAAACGGAGAAACGTAAAGACTTTGGGGAATTGTAAGGTCAAAGAATCACTCTAACAGGTTTGTACCCTTCAAAGGTGTGTAATCTATTGCAAAGAAAATGCGGAATAACTAAATATGAAAAATAGGAACAGTTTTTGAAAAAGCCAGTGTTTTCCAACGCTGGTCGGCCGACCAGCGTTGGATAAATACAGTTTTTCTTGAAAATGTCAGCACACCAGGAGCCACGATTTTACAGGATGCTTTAGACTGTCAGTCCCTAACAATTCAGTAAGGTATTTTGTGATAATTTGATCATTTTGTTTTTTGATGTTTGCAAATGTTGTATCTTCCCTTTAAGGCATGGCTGCAACAGCAGTAAACCATACACAAGCAATAAGAGAAAGTTTGCGATTCCAAAAGGACACTTCTTACAACCCAGCAATTGGGCCCATGCAGTAAGCCAGAACATGACTTCTCATGTGCAGTGGTCAACTGCATGCACATACGGAGTAATTCTTTGGTCAATGTTGGATCAAAGATGGTTTTCAGCTCAGTCTGCGACTGCCAAATGGACTTCTCAATTGGTCCGCCCATCAGGCTTCAACATTCCTTTGATACTGAACGAAAAAGGCTTTAAAAAGGACCGGGTATCCCTAACAATGTCGAAAAATATGGGTCAGGAAAATGATTACAGACCGACATTCCAATACTATCAAGGTATAATTTAAACAGTATCACATAAAAGTGTCTCAAAACTTTGAACGCTTGGAATGTTCCACTGGGAATATAGCACTGTTCATATCAGGAATACTGAATTTTCTGACGGGAAAAACCTGGAAGCACCAGGTGTTCCCATATGGGAACTGTTTGGCTTACGTATTCCAGCTGGGAATATAATGGGAAATCTGTAGTGACAGGCATGCAACTGGGAAGTCACAAAAACAGGAAATTCCAAGCTTTACAAGACTCTAGTGATGCAGTGTCTTTTCCATTTTTAGTGGCATACCAGAAATGTAAAAAAAAGAGAGGAAAATCAGCTGATCAAGGAAAAGTTGCATGCCTGTGTCAAAGTGTCTTGCTCCCCAAAGAAGTGTCCCCAAAACAACAAGACCATTCCGAGTTTTGAGACATTTCTTTAGGAAAATATTTTCAGGAAACTGATATTAGGCCAAAAAAAAAATACTCCGGTCTCTGGTCAGCGCGCGCGTCGATTTTAACCATGCGCGTCAACCTTTTTTTTCCTTCAAATTAACACGGAAGCTACAACAGCTCCTCAAATGTTTGTACCAAGGAGCACCAAGGAATGGGGAAATTGCACCAAGGCAAATGATAAAGGGCACCAAGGCAAATTATGGAGAACACCAATGTATAATGAGGGCACAAAAAAAGCAAAATAGTACCCACCTTGTCTGTACAATTCAAGCTTGGAAAAAAAACCAAAAAAAAACACCCCCCCCCCAAAAAAAACGCGTCGCCGCATCAATTCCGGAACTTCGGTCTGACCAGAGACCGATAATTATTTTTTTTTGGCCTTAGTTTTGAGGATTTTCTGATCTGATAGGGAAGTTCAACAAGTGTGAATAGCTTACTAGTACAAAAGACAACACTGCTTGCACATACGATACTTTTTTGATATTTTATGGGCGAATAAGCGATTCAGATTGAAGTGATGTGAAATTTAGATGAAAATATGTTAACTGGTGTTTCCAAAAAGCCAGAAAACAATGTGCATGACTAATTTCTTTTCCACATTCCAATGGTGACTTAAAAGTTCAAATCTCAAAAGCATAACCCTTAACATTTAGGAAAACCCCAGAAGGTAACCAGATGCATTGAGACTGGCCCACTTTAACCTTAAAATATTACACTATGGAGGAAAATGTTTTTCAGTCTTGTAAACAAAAGATTTGTATAAAAAAAAAGGTGAGAGAAATTCTACATCAATTCTTAACCCTTAAATCGCCCTTCAGCACAAACCGGGTACAATGACAAGTCAAGATTCTTATTTCTGGGTGGTATTATCATCAGCGTGGTCTACCCCTGCCCCTACCCCTACCCATCGGTGGTTTGACCGGCCGATCGTCCGTGTTAGTGGACTTTGGATTCTTGACTGTCTCATCCACAGACAGGATCAAGCAGGCTGCTTCAGACGCTGCCGTGATGGCATTGATCTTGACAATTGCTGGCTCCCAGACGCAGGCTGCAAAGTTATCGGCCACGTCCTCATTCAAGATGTCCACTCCGTACCATGTGTTACCTGCACAGATAAAAATACAGAAAAATTCAAGATGCCAGTTATTTATTTATGCAACTTGTCGAGGCTGAAACTGCTTGGATACAAACTTCTGTAACAAAATGAACTTCTGCAATCCTTTCTGAGCTGTCGCTTGAAGAATGTCAAATTCCTTCACTTGCTTAAGCATGAACAATACAGAAAATACTTTACGAAGCACTTTTTTATTTCCAAAATAATGGTAAATGTTCCTAAAATTTCCTCTGTGCGATCATGATTCCACCCTCTGCAGTTAAGGTATATTCAGAATTTGATTAAGTTACCGAAAAAGTAACGTTGCAAGAGCAGAAGAAACTAAGTAAGGGCAGGCTAATACTCAACGCCAATAGGAATGGCATAAAACCAAATATTTACAGCTAAATTTGCTACGGATGAAATGGGCTTAACTTCTGTGATTTTGCAGAGGAGAACTTGTGATGTTTCAAATTCCTATTCATGTTCATTTACATGCTGAGGATTAGAAATGGGCTGAAGACAAATACAACCTGATTTCCAGTTTGAACTTCAACTTTCTTCTCCCCTTCTCAAGTTAACCATGACCCTCTCACTTTCTCCTTAGACCCTCCTGCTTTCTCCTTAGATCCTCCCCTTCCCCGTACTTGTCCCACCCTCATCCCCTATCACTGGCGATCCATCAGGGTGCAATAAAGCAAACCCCGATGCTCCCTTTAGTCACTCGGCCTCTGTCAGCTGTGCCGTGCAGCTGCGGATATATATCCACAGACCGGGCGACTTCCAGGATGCACCAATACACACCCAGCTGACACAACATGGAAGCCGCAAAGATTCCATACCATAAGGTAGACGGCCCAGCACCGACAAGCCTATCAGATGGCCAAGTTGCCGTTGTAGCGGCAAGCTACGTGACAGATTTGTGCCAATATATACCCAGCAACTCCACAACCCCCTCAAACATAGCTAGGGGTGACAACAAGTACCTCTTACCCCCCTCCCCCCACCCCTCAACGCCATCCCCACGCAATTCAGCCTAAAGGTTTGCGGGATGACACACACAATTTTACTGAACATGTGTTGGTTGAGACAGCGCCACATCAAAAAAGAGAGACAGAAAAAAAAGTGAGCAACATACGCTCACGTACTCCATGAACGTGCTAGGCAGGAAATTTGATTTGCAGAGGTGGACTGGACCCAGCCACCAAAAACATCCAATTGGTTCCAATTTGCTCGGCAGGAAATGCCTCAATTTCCAGGGTACGTGAAACCATGCAAGGCAGAGAGAGTGAGTGAGAGAGACGGACGTCTGTACATGTCGGCGTGATGGAAAGGTGGGGGGGGGGGGGGGGGGGGGGGGAGGTGGTGGGGATATTGATGATATATTGCGGGGTTCATGCCTAGCTACTATGATGAGTGCTTCATGTCAGGTCTGGGTATTACCCTCTGCAGGCAATCGCTAAAATACACCTGTTCTTGATTTGAAACTATGCCGAACAACTCTAAGGTTTAGACTTGAAATGAGGTTGATCAAGCACATAGGCTTTGAAGTTCACTGTCTTTATTTTGGATTTCTTTAAAGGTTCTCAGAGTTGTATAAGTATTAAAAAAGTAAGTTTTACAAAATCTGCAGAAAAAAATCAATGGTTACGACGATGTAACTTGAACATTTAAAATTAAAAAAAATTAAAAACGCCCACAAAAAAATACTTTTGGGAAACAAATGGACATGTTCTAAATGACGTTTTGGGCCAAAATTGGGTAAAACAAAGACCTTTAATGGAGCATGATCTGAACCAGCAACCTCCTCAAAACTGTACTTGCACTCAACCAAACGAACTCTCCATTCATGTCTCCAAAACTGACCATATGTTTGTTAAAAGAGAAAAACAGATTGTGACAAACAATTCTACAAACCTTGGGCATGTTTCTGTCTGAGTTTGTTCAGGATGTTGGTGGCATCAAACCCAGCGTTGTCGCACAGCTGTCGTGGGATGATTTCCAACGCCTTGGCAAACGCACCAATCAGGATCTGCTGCTTGCCGGCGATGGTGCGCGAGTAGTCGCGTAGATACTTGCTCAGCTCCATCTCAATAGCGCCACCGCCTGTTCAAGCAAAGCCAGTTTAGACATTCTTAAACAATGCATTAGTGCAAATTTGGTGTAATGGACGATACAAATAAGTCAATTTTTTGTGTTCTTTAGATGCTCAGTAAATAAACCTGAGAATGATTTTTCAAATCTGGTACATCCATCATCTAGTTATGGTCCAGGAGATTACAGACTAGGAGTTTTGGATCATTTTTCTCAACTTTGCTTAGATATCATGGTTAAATTGGCTCTGTTCTGGACATGACTTTTTTTTTTTACTGTACCTGTTACATTTGATATATATTATTTTATAATTCTCATGCACTCCATAATGCAGATGTTCTCCAATTTAAGCTATGAATAGCAAACTACATACCATGCATATGAAAAGTAATTTGAAGTCATTCTTAAAGATATTTGAATTGCAAATTACAAAGTACCAAGGCAACAGGGTCTCGTATGATTGGCATTTGAATGACTTGTGATGACTTAAGCTGTCTTGTGAGGAGTTGCTATCCCTTTTTCATAAATGGGTCTTTGAAATCACTGTACCTGCAACGACCGCGTCATTCTTGATGGCTCGTCTTACAATCATGATGGCGTCGTGTAGAGAACGTTCTGTCTCCTCAATGAACTGCTCAGCCCCGCCTCGCAGAATGAGGGTGCAGGTCTTGGCCTGTTGGCATCCAGTGAAGAAGTTATACCTGGAACAAGACCACAGAAAAAACGTTTAGTGCTGGGGAAAAAAAATTGCAGAAGTTATACCTGGAACAAGACCACAGAAAAAACGTTTAGTGCTGGGGAAAAAAAATTGCAACCGGGGTCAACTGGTCAAGAGGACGGCTGGGAACTTGGTCAGCAATGTAGTTGAAGAGCAAGCATCAACTGAACTTTGAAAGGTTTGTACGAACAAAAAAATCAATAACAGGGGCAAAAATATCAACAGTTAGCAGGAAATGTGTTTCAATTATAGCAGAATTGTTTTAATAATCTTAAGCATTTTCCACAGCCTAGTCTTGCTACTCCTTGCATACACAAGGACATTTTCGGAACAATTCTTTACGAAAACAATGATTCAGAAGTTTATATGCTCTTTGTTGCTTGCTATTTATGGTTGTGGTGAAATGGACGGACAATCTTCTCAAAATTAATGTGCTCAGCAGCTTGATCAAATATTAAACTTTATTTTAGACTGTTTGAGTACAACAATCTACTGACCTCTCTCCGCCAATCTGTTCCTCGTTGAATGCCTCACACGTTCCCAAGACGTCTTCGGTTAGACTCTGAACCGAGGTCTGTATAGCGCCCCCGCAGGCCTGCAAGGTACGTTTCAAGTCCTGTTCCACAACACGACCGGCGCAAAACAAGTCCCTGTTAGTGAAATAACAAACGATTGTTTGACTCGGGATGCATCTCTATTAACCCTCTAAGATAACAACTGCAGTAGATGCAGCCTTTTGCAGCCCAAGACCTTGACAAAGTGCATCCTACAAAATCAGTAACGCACTTCTGCCACGTAACCTCAATCCTCCAAATTCCTCCACTTTAGGAAAGAGGATTTTGAAGGATTCAGGGCGGTTAGGTTAAGCAAATGTTACAGGCTTGATCTTGTGATATAATGGTAGTGTCCTTTTTGTTTCAAGCTTGCAATAAACAGAACAATCAAGACAACAAAGATAGAAATCCTAACTAATATAGGAAAATAAACGATAGATGATTGTGCCCCGATCTTAACATCTAAAATTATTCATTTGTTATTGATGGACGTTGGATTCAAATTGAAACCAGCCTTATCCACCTTTAACAAATTTCTCCAGAACCACACCTGACGAGTACAGACATTGACACCAGAATCAATCAGATATTGTCTGTCGCATTCCGCAGGTAAATCCATGTGTGTGTTTGGAGGTAATCGGTCCACTATTCCCAATTGGGATGAATAATGAGAGCCAGGTAGGGTCCAGACGGGATGGCCTCTGTCAGTTACGACCCAGATACCTCATGAACTCAGCCTAACCTTGCTAAACCAGTAAAAACGCCCCAGATTTCAGCCAAATCAAACACAACCAGATGAGTTATGTGTCTCCTGACTGACAATCATGACAGGGATAAATTGATGTAATCCACCGCAACGACACTTCTGACTTGTCGAGGGTAATCAAAGAGAACTTCTTCAGACATTCCGTCACTGACACCATGGACTGAAATCCTGTGCATTCTCTCGAGGACAGACACGGCAGATTCTTCCAAACCACTCACCACTTCTTCATAATTGACACCCTGTCAGTCATGCCAAACTAAATTATTCCAGAGCTTAGAATTATTAGTTTGACGTTTGAAACAATTAGGAGCAACTACACGTAAAAATTGATTCTTGCAGATCTTCCAGTAACTCCAGGATCCAAGAAATGGAAAACTAGAAATTAAGCTTTGCCGTCTGAATCCAAATATTTACATGTAGGCTGACCACAGTTGCTTGTAATTCTTTTTTGGTCGAAACATGACTCTTGAACACAGGTCTGAATATAGTGTGAAATATCCCCACGATAGAGATTAATATTCAAACATTATTACTGGTAAATGTCATTGTTACATTGTATATATCCAATCCTTCTAGCATCAAACCTTTGTTAGGCCATGGATTATGGATTCGTTGCAGAATAAAAGTTAACTTTGAAAAAAAAAAAAAAAAAAAAATTAAATTATAAATCACAGCCGAAAAAAATAACCCCTCGCCCCAAATCTCGCTTTCTAGGTAGTATGAATATACAGTTTATGCAGACAGTATGAGTCGCTGATTTCAAAGATCGCTGATTATCAACAGATTGGAAAATCAACCATGGCCTTACAATTCTGCAGTCCAGTATCTGTACTGGAGTGAACTGTCCACACAGAGAGTATGGCTCTCATCAAATCTCTGAAAGTCCTGTTAGGGCGCAACGAAGTGAGCAAGTTACACAATCAGTTATGATTCACGGTAACTGGTTCATTTCAACGGCAGCTACTCCCCTGTCATTGATGCATGGCAGACATAACCAATCATGACAGAAACATCCCCAGCAACAAGTGGAATTCTTGTAGACGCACACTCCCCAAAACATAACCAGAGAATATGATCTGTTGAAATACTTAATTCCTGTTGCTGGGGTTCATGAACTGATGGGAGCAAATTCAGGTTATGTTAGTGTTAAACTCTCGTCGAGTACGATATCGTAACTGACATATCCTGTGACTGCCAAGCACCAGGAGTTAAGCCATGCCCTTGCCCTTGAGGTTTGGTGGAATGATTTAACCTGTGCCCGACTTTTACAAAAAACAGGGAATCAGGTTTTCTTGGACCTTACTCCTTCCTATATGATCTTGGCAAAATGACCAGATCTCAGTTGCATCCCTTACTCCTAGGGGGTAAGAAAAATCTGATTAAAATTGGAGCATTCAGGACTGTTAGGATTGGAGATGAACCAAAACAAGGTAACTGCCACTTGTTTTGAATTTGATTTTAATTTTAATCCTAGCTCTGCTAAATCCAAACTGTTTTTTTTTTTAACTACGCAGTGGAAAAAAACAAACCCTTTTATTCCAACTTGGGAATCATCCCAACTTCATGGTCCACTATTTGTTAAATTCAGTTGGATTTCAATTCAGAAGTGTGCTGAGAAAAAACCCGAAGTTGGGTTCCCTCAAAGAAACAAAAACTCCCTTTCTTCAGAGCCGTACCCTCTAAGATGGCAGTTATGCATAAGGTCTATGATTTGTTTACCTATCAGCAAAGTACTGAGTAGCCACATCACCGATAGGTAGCTTGGACAGGACAACTTTGGCTCCACTTAGATGAATCTTCTCCAGTTTATCATAGAGGATGGACCACTCAGCATCCACAATGTTCTGATATTCCTGCATGAGAAAAAACACAAAACGAAACTTGTAACATTTGCACAGGATAAAATACTTGGATTTAACATCAACACCACAGGTTTGGCACAAATACCATAATAAAACTTATATGTCAATGACTAAGCCATGACTTTTTCATGACAAATCCAAGTTTCTTTCGATGACTGAATGCACTGTTTTCCAGTGACTGTTTTGTTGTACAAAATTTCAGTTTTATGGAGCCCTGCTGAAGCTCCCCCAAATGAGTGTTGTTGCAAAAAAGGAGAATTTAATATCATGGGCCGGAGCTGGAAGTGACTTTCCTGAAGGTATACAACACTGACAGTGTTAAATGAAATGTCAGTAAATGCATTGAAATGTCAGAAAAATCTGATATTTTTAGAGAGTTTCGTGAAACATTAATGTCTCTTACATTATTGTCTCTGGAAAAGGCACACCTGGATTTTTCTAGGTGTGTGTTTTTTCTAGGTGTGTGGTTTTCTAGGTGTGTGATCTGTGTTCCAGGAAAATTCAGGCGTGCAATTATTCACACTTCTCCGGAAGCTTTTAGGTGTGCGATGGTGTGGGGGTGTGATCGCACGCCTCAAATCAGAAAGACTGTTACAGTGAATTAGCAGCAAATGAATTTACAAGCAACCTAGTGATTCGTACTTATTTTGTCTCACAGATCACATTTGGTGCTCGTGGCAATACTGTTTTGATGAGTTCCCTCAAAAGTGCACCCCCTTTGACTTGAAGGGGTAGCACGGGGGTAGCACAGAGGTGCCCGGCTCCTCCACACACTATATTGGAGTCTTGATATCATAACATTGGTGATTCATTTCCTCTGGTAGGAAAGGGAGTTTCTAAACTTAGGGGTAACTCGGGGTGTAAACACTGCGAGGCTTCGCAGGATGGGGTACAGGTTTACACTGCGGTTAGATGAAAACTTGTCATGTTTCCTTTCTATTTGAGTCAGTCTGGGGACAATTTTACACTTTTTGCTTCAGCTCTAACTGCTTTCACATTTATCGTGACATCCTCTGAAATCCAACAAGACTTGATATTTATATCTTATGGAATAAACTTCTATTTAAGTTAGTTGTGATTCAATTGCATTCAAAATAGCCTGAAAGAACTGAAAAGCATATTTTTTATTTTTTAAAATGTGCCAAATTTAAACAGTATGGTTTTATTGCCTAACTGTGCCGACAATGATTAAAATGGTTTCTAGTGGTAGAAAAGAAAATTCTTAGATATAAAAAAAAAGGTTGAAAGTTGATAAACCTTGATTCTATATACATTTTCAAGCTTGAAATTTGGCCAGAATTCATTTATAATTGGAAAAGACTCAAAGACAATTTAACAACTTATCATTTTACCTCAACATTGTCCACTCTGACTTCAGCGTTCTCCTTCTCAGATTTGAGTTCCAGCTCCACGTTCAAGAGAGCAATCTTGGGATTCTTGTAAGATTTAGGCTGCATCTCAAAGCCGGCATAGCTGAATGTCTTCTTGAAGGCCACGCCCGCAACCAGTCTGGATTCCTAAAATAAAAGAAAAGGAAAAAAGTTGAGTGCAAATTTAAATAAAACTTGTATTTAGAACATTCAACGTACCAAGGGGTGGTACAAGTTGGAGGCATCAAACCATGGTCTTTTTAAAAATTAATAAATCCCAGAAAACTGGGATTTATTCAGGCGTTGTATAATACTGTCTGTTTCACTCACTATGATCTATTCTACAGAAACACTGATGTGAAAAAAATAAATAGATCAACTCTCAGAAACAGTTTCTCACGGCCGCGATGGCAGCGACGCTCCATCAGAACGATGGATTGTCACTACCTGGACCATGATGCATTGCTCTACCACAAATGTAACGCAAGAGGAAGTAACGACAGAAATACTTCCCTGCTGACTTAATTGTGGATCTATCCTAATCCTCCCATGTCCTCAAGAATCAAATGCCTGAATTTGCGGTATTCTGTGGAATTGTGTCTGTCCAGCTCAGCCTTTTTTATTACATGAGCTTTTGTGTCACAATTTTGGCCGCAAACAAAGACCACAACATTAATTTTACTTTGTGTACGGCAAACTGACACATTACCACAAACAAATGCCAACTCTAGACGACGAGCAGATATATCAGCTGAAACTATTACAAAGATGGAATTGAACCCTAACTCTCCTCAATCCTCCAAACTCAACCAGCTGGATTTGAAGGATTTTGGAGGATTGACGCTGTATGGCAAAAAAGTTTTGGTTGATTTTGGAGGATGCATTGTGTCAAGGTCTTAAGCTGTACCTCCATTGTTTATGTTCAGCCACGCTTAATTGAGGCCTACATTATACTGGATACCATCCGCACTGCTTCTGGATATCATTGGTAATGCCTTGAAGTATTAACAGTGATTGTTGGATGATTTGTAGGATTGAGGCAGTGGTCACCCCTCCACTGAGCAAATCCAATTCGTACATGTTGGCAATTGGAGGATTCCGCAGGACTGAGGGGGATTCAGCTGGACTGAGGATGAAAGAAACTTCCAAAGTCTCTTATAAACCTACCAGATCCTTCATAATCCTCAGGTGATTTTGTGTAGGATTTTGTAGGATTGAGGAAGGTATAGTTTTGACAAGTACATTTTTACACTATTGCAAAGATTGTGTCATTTCAGGCATGCAACTGGGAAGTCACAAAAAAACGAGGAAATTCAAATCTTTTCAAGACTTTGTACAGTGTTTTTCTATTTTCAATGGCACGCATGGGAAGTGAAATAAGAGGAAATCCGCTGATCCGAGGAAAACTTGCATGCCTGCATTAGTTGTCTGAATGGTTTGGTTCTTAATAAAAATACCTGAAGACCAAAAAACAGAAACAATGACGACATACCTCCAGAGCCCCTCCTTGAACTTTCTTAATCCCAATCATTTCCATGGGTAGATTCTCGTCCAGTAGACTAACGGCACTGACCACCATGTCAGCAAAGAAGTCCTTCTGAGCAGCTACTAGCTTGGAGCTTAGCGTGGTGGCTGCGCATTTCTCTAGTAACTTGGTGTGCTCCCTGAGAAATTGTGAAGAAAAAAAAATCAAATTGAAGACAATTACACAGTGACTGAACTACTACTGCAAAATAATCGGTATAAAGAAATTACAAAAGGAAAACACACAAGTTTCCACAGTTCGTTTTTATATTTCAACTCTAACAACGCTCTCCAAAGCCTGCAAAATCCACAAGGATTGCGAGGATTTTGCAGGAGTCGGGGTTAAAAGCAAGTAACATCCTCTTTACACAAAGAATGTGGACATTTCTTTTCTGCAAATTTATGTATTTTGGAATTACTGAAGGTGCTGACCACTTCAACTTATTCTGAGACCTGCGATCACGATCGCTTTGACAACCGAGTTGGTTGTTATCCATACTTCTCACTCTTTTTTTGGCTGAACTACAAAATCCTTACCTCAAAAACCAAGGAAAAATTGTTTTGTCTTCCTACAATGATCTACTAATACTTTTAGATGACACACAGTTACAAAAAATTTGTTACTTTGACTTGGTAAATTATTCCAACTTTTGTATTTAGCAAGACTATGATTTGTCACATGGAAAGGGTGCAGTGTCAAAGACACAGAAAGAGGATGAATTTATTTCCTGTGCAAAGTAGCGTCAAAAGGTGTTAATCACTGAATCAGGATGTCATTCAAACCTTCACATCCCACGGCTGTCTTAAAGACACGAGTCAAAGTAAATTCACTCCGAGTGCATTCAATAACGGTCTTCCGAGGCAAATTTCATGCCAGCCCCGGTACTGACAGGCACCATGTGTGGTAACGCGTTGACGGCCTACGTGTCGCACAAATCGCGCCATCATCCTAAGCATGGGTCAGCAGTCCGCGTCTGTCATTAGAGGGGCGGTCCTCGGGGGAAACTCCCCGAAACCAGATTCCACTTTCTCAGTGATATCTTACATCACACTTGATACCAAACACATGTTACGATGCATCAGTTTACACACACTAATACGAAGGGAGGTTACCGGAGGTGAATAGGGCAAAGGGAAGGCAATAAAGTGGGTGGGGCAAGTTGTGTGGTCACTCTTCCACTACAAATTCTTAAATTATGACAATATTTCAGAGTCAAACTGAAATGCATTATCATGCTGTCCTGAAGTAAACCCATATCCAAATTTTAGTGATCCCTTTTTGATTGACCAATTTACTGAGCAGACCTATTCAAACAATATCCGAAACTATCAAACTGTGAAACCTTCTAATTCTGAAGATTCCTATTTCTGAAATAAAATTGCTTGTTTCCTGCTCAACAAAAGCGGACAAACCTTATTTGGAACCAGTTTGGTTACAGATTGTTAAGATCAACCCTAACCCTTCACGATCTTTAAAACTCAACCAGGCCATTTTGGAGGATTTTGCGGGATAGGAACATACGGCTCAGGAGCTTTTACTTTGGGCTGGATTTATCCTGAAAAATGGATCATTATATGAAATATTAAAACTCAATAAAAAGCGTGAACTGATAAAAAATGACATCCGATGACAAATTGTCTCGGCCCATTCCCCAGGCGTGTTTACCGCACAGATGAAACCAGCTCTCATCATAACGGGACCAAAGCCCCCAACTCATGTCAGCTCTCCGCAGCTCCATATCAGATGGAAATGGTGAACAGCTGCTCTGAATTTGGTTGGGCTGACAGCTGGGTGATACATAACGTACTGACTCATGGGTCCTTAAAAGGGGCGGGGATTAGAGAGGTAGCTGCGGTGATTGGGGGGGGGGGGGGCTTCACTCATGCCTTACAAATTAACGCCTGGTCAGTTGACAAGGGTAACATTTCTGGCTGACTTGTGGTTTGTCCTGTGCAATCATAGTTATATCACCGCTATACTATGAAGAACAAAAGTTGCATGTGCGTATGTGTCCGTGTTCACGAGTTGATTGCCTGTAAAGCTTTCGCCCATGAAGTGGGCGACAGGCGGCAAAGCCGACTACCGGTGAAGTGGGCGAGGCGAAGCCTCATACAAACAAGTCAATGTTGGTTGAATGCAGGGGGCAGCTGGACTGTGCTACATATGCTTTCAACTACACATATCCTGCTTGACTGTAAGCAACATCGTGTGATACTTGTCTTGCGACATTAAGCAGACTTAGCAGTGCGGCGACAGTTTTATGTATTAGTCAAACATGACATTTCCATTTTCATTTGAATTTTTGTTTTTTTAATTTTCAACTAGTCAGTTGTCCCTTGTTTGCAAAATATCCAGCAAAGTACTGCAGGCCCTGAAACATTTGACATGCACGTAAAATACAGTCAATAATTAAATTTGTCCCAGTCGTGAACTCCAAACATTCTGTTATGGTAAAAAACAAACACGAAAATGCCAAATCATGTAACTTGACATGCAGATAATTTCACTTTAGCCACATCAGCGGGGTTGTGTTTTGTGAGACAGTCATCTGCCAAGAAGCGGGTATCTAGGGTACAGCTTAGGGGATAAGATTTCAGATGAATAAGGAAGGCATGTTGGAATGCAGTCAAGAAAGAGGATTCCTCTCGAGTGGGAGTACCAAGCAAAACCACAACAGATCCGGCCAAGTTAATTTGCTCAAGAAAGTACGCTGTCAGCTAGCCAAGGTCATGAACCTCCTAATCCAAACAAACAAGAGCCGAAGAATGTCCCACAATGCACCGCAAACCATCAAGTCACACCCTTCTCCATCATAGCACAAGATCTAAGTCAGATGACCCTTTAACATGATCCCAAGACATGATGTTACTCAGCAGACCACTTTTTTTTTCTTCTTGACTCCACGTCACATTTCTGTGATCCCTCCTCACTCATCTGTGTTTGCCTGGGGGGCTCTAGACGGGTCCTTCATTCTACCATATCGTCTTTGAATTACGACCCCCCAAAAAATTACACACATACAAGAATGCCTATTGATTTACGACCTGACTACTCAGAAAAAAAGGAGACTGGTTTTACGCTCTGCTATGCCGGTTTCTTAAAGATAAAGAAAGTTGAAAGAGAGAGAAAAGGCCACACATCTGATGTGCGTTAAAGGGTACTCGGTCATGTGGAACTAAAGGCTCTACTAGCCACAAAACACACATTGTTTCATTAAACATCAATGGTTAAATGACGCTGACTTAAGTAGGGCAGGGAAAAAATGATAAATGACCCTGTTCCCCTAGGGGGTGGAGACAGAAAACAAGTAAGCAGCCAGGCTACATACTCAGATGATTCAAATTTTCTCCAGGTTTTTGGCCCTGACTCGGCCATATGGTTGCATGTCAATTCTCATCGCGTCATATTTTCATAATTCATAACCCTGTTTTTCCTCTCGTCATCAAAGTCCCTTTCCTTTTTCATACTCAAGAGGGCCTCACTCTATCGCAAGCTTCAGAGGTTTAGAGAGAGCTGTTAAAAGATATTTTTCAAATCCATTTTTGGTCCGCTTGCGTACGGTCGGTAACGCTACAGGACTGTTACACAGTCACAGGTTTCTCTAATTTTCTGTTAGGAAAACCAAATGCACAACAAATTAAAGAAACACACCATAAAAAAAAGGTTTTGCTCACTAATCATTACAACAGACAGATGAAAGCAACAATCAACCCTTTCCTCCCAGGGTGTATGTAAAATCAAACTCAATAATAATAATATACTCATGATAATAAGAATAATAATAACATAAAATGTAATATTCAGGACGTATAAGATAAGTTATGCAAATGATTAAAAATAGTGGAATTTCAGTTGTCACAGGTGATTTATTCCAAGTAAAAAAAAACCAACTTGGAATTCTGTGGTGTAACAAGCACCTCTTCATTGGTGAACTTTTGTAAAATAGGGGCCACATGTACGGGGTCTGACCCAAGAGGGAGCCTTGTAAATACTTAAGGGACAATCCTGTTGATGGTACACCATACAACATCAATTTACGACTGTGTACGAGGAAAAATGCCAATTGATACACATATGCTTCCAACTGCCAAAAATTGATGGTTCCTGTTACTATGTCCAAAAACCGAAGTTTTGTCCCAAAGACCGACTATTAATATTAGACATATGAGCGAGTATGTTGGCACACTGATTGAGTGAATGCATGGACAATGACATGTAGTTTGTCAGATTTTGCAAAGAATATGTCATCTGTCATCAGTGGGTCCATTTTTTGGTCTGGTTTTATTGCCGTCTGTTGAGAACCAATGATTGTTTTTCATAGTGTAAGCACCAATTATTTGATAGAGAGGAAATCACTTAATGATTAACAAGGTACTAAAAACCAAATCCATTGAGTTTATCAGAAAGGAATTCCGAATAGGGTCACCAATGGTAGAACTTAATATTCAACTTTTTACGATTACTGATGCACCAGTCTACAAGGCACAAGTGTGGGATGCTGGTTCATGAAGTCAGGATAGCAGACATCGTTTGCGGTTTACCTAATCCAAAATGTACAGTGGGTCTGGATACTGTTTTACAGAGACATGACTGGTGATTTATTGCTAGGATTAGTATTCTATTGGTGAATAAGTGAGAAAATAGTGTCCATGATTTTCTGACAGGAAGTGCGTCCATGAACTTTATAATTTTCAGATTTTCATGGTTAAAGGGGAAAAGGCGTTGGTCGGCCTAAGGTTGAGTTGTTTGTGTTTCTAGTGATGTTATTAACAACGGCGTGGCGTAGTCACATCTGTCCAACCTCATCAGGGGAGTCAAAGAACTCACTAGCTGACATTCTTATTTTTGGGTCCCCCACCATCAATTAGCCGGCCGTTGACAGTGTGCAGGGAGGGGGGGGGGGGGGGGGGGGGGTTAGGGTTGGGGTGAGGAGGGGGAAGACACAGAGGGACGCATCATCCATCAATCATCACTTTGATTAAACGTTTGGGGATTCTACTGCGTTATCTGCCACAATGCATTTCTTAGTGAAATTACACCGGGCAACGGTGCCGATAAAAGTAGCTTGGGGGATGGGTACTGTCGGGGGAGCTAGAGGCTTGGTATTAGGGGGCTAGTTAGATTGAGGCAGTCAATAGAGAACTTCCGGGGCTACTCACGCGGGGTTGTCGCTCTCTATTTTGACGGCGATCTCCCGGATCTTGTCCAGAGCTAGCTGGGTAGCCTTGCGGTACGCTCGGACGATGACCTGTGGGTGCACGTTCTCGTCAACAAACGACTTGACTTGTTTGAGGAACTCGGCTGCCAGCATGGTAACGGTTGTGGTTCCATCCCCAACCTGAATGTGGACAAAATTTAAGATATATAAAAAAAGCAACTTGAGAAAATATCTCTTAGCTAACTGTCAAATATAGGAACTCTCATGATAGAAAAAACAAGCAAATGATAAAATAGAAGGAAAAACAAGTACGTCAGAAAAAAAAATCCCATCCAAATCCTGTCTACATCCCCCCCCCCCAACAAAAAAAGTTAAAGAGCAAACCTTTTTTAATTGATATTTATTATAATTTTCTTGTTCTACTATAATCCCTCTTTTTCTTAATGGCTTCCTTTTTAAATTGAAATCAAAATTCAATAGAAATTTGTTTGAATTGATCAAAATTGTTCTTGTCAGAAGTATTCATACGACGAAAAAGAGGAAACTCATCGCATAAGATACACTGTATACTTTGAATTCTTTTCTGAGAGAGAAGTAAATCTGGTCAACTTTGACGGGAACTAGAGGTGACATTTTCTATTTTGTCCCCCTTAACCTTGCCTTCCTGACGCCGTCACTCTAACAGTTAGAATTAGAACCCAATTAAACCTGCCTGCTGCGGTGGTCAACGGCCAAGTACTGATTGACGGAATCATGCTCTTATTAGTTCAATAATCACTGATTACGTGTTGAGACGTGAATCACATAGCGGTGAAGCATGACAAGGCAATATATGACGATACAACTTTGGGTATTAGTGTTATGACCACTGCTGACCCCTCTTGACCCTAAGTTATTTCGTTGGCGTCCATATAACTAACACCACACCGTTCAAATGTTCTCCATAGTGCTGGATACCAACTTTTGCATCTATGTATTTTTTTTAATACTCTTTTGTCAATTTGTACAGCAAGCCTTGGACCTACTGGGTGATCATTTTGAAATCTCCATGTTTGAAAAAAACAAAACAACAACAATTGCTCCCTTTCAGCAATGTTGAGTACATTTATATATTGTTTGTTGAATACCATTTAATAACACACACAAAAAAAATCTTTCTTTCTGACTGATTTCTTGAAGTCTGTATCTTGCTTTTTACCACAGTTTAATTTTTACGACACAGGGATCTTTTTTTTTTAGCCGAGGAAGTAGGACATGTGTATAAAGTTATAAAATGTAAAAATCAAAATTGGATAACAGTCTCGAGCCAATGAAGTTTTTTTCAAATCACATTCTCTGCAAAAATTTTTTTTCCCCACTAAAGATTAGAAATGACTAGTTACAGAGATGAAACAATCCCAAGGGGGAATCCCCTTAGAATGGAGGGTCAAGGGGACACAAGAATCACTCTACAAGCACAAGGGGATATCCTCATGAGGAACTGGTTATTGTGGTGAGTCAAAAAAGTAAAGTAGGCTTGCACTGAATAAGACTGTGGAACGTAAAGCACCCCCTCATTAGGCAGAGTCAAGTTAGTCTAGATCTGTCTGCTCATTAACATTGATGGCGGTATTGAGCATCAGTGTACGAATCAGAAGGAATCTTTGAATTGGTTTTGCTGAATAATGGCATGCTTAGCAGAAAATCCAAACACCCTCATCATTTTTTGAAAGTTGGTTGAAAAACAATTGATTTGGTATGGCCTTAAACTAAATACACATTGATAGTACAAAATGTAACTGAAATACAGCTTCGACACTGTCATCTGGAATGAAGTTAACACTTCATGTGCCCCAATTTTAAAAGTTTCGGAGGAAAACTTTGTCACAACATCAGTGGAACTCATTAATTTTGAGTTGCTCCATGACTGGAATTGATACTGACACTTTTTCACCTGACAGCTAGACCCAATTGAGCACTAAATACTTCAGGAAAAGGTGTCAATGCTTTGGTTCGTTGGGAGAGAAGGCATTTTTTTTTCCAATCTTGGGGACCTGCTTTCAATTAACACCTATCCAGCACAGCCGTTGGTGTCAACCGGAGTTTGTCTTACTGTCTGTGATGTATCTATTACGGACGAGTCATCATTTCCTTTGAAGGGTAGCGGTTTTTTTAGATTTGAAAGACTGATCTGAGCTTACGGGAAAATAGAATCAACTTAAGTGCCGTGTGTCAATATTTCTGGAATTACATTCCCTGGGGGTTAGAAAGGGAAGGATTATCGTACATAATTGGATAGGAAGATGAAATCATACATAACTGATGGCTTACTGTTATAATATGAAATGATCTACTTTTCAAAAGGGCAACTGGTTGAAAAAGGAGAAACTTGTGCCCTGGAGTAACTCTGCTCCTTTTACCCATAAATCACTGTAGCTCCCCAAACAGCCCTGCCTAATATGTAACGTACGAAACTGACTGAGCACTGTATGGTTTCATGGATTCTTCAGTGATTATACACAATGCTGATTATACACAATGTTATACAATGTGGAACAGCTGCTGATAGATTATGCGATTCTGGGAAATGGTTTCAAAAGAGGCTTTACAAATTTTGTCATTCCTTTACTTCCACGATAATAATAATAAAACAGCATTTATATAGCGCAATATGAATCAAAGATTCCTCAAAGCGCTTAACAATAGAACAAGAATCCCAATTTAAAACCTAACTTGGTTACAAACTTCGGCCGGACCAGCTGTTGTCTGAATGATTAATCGTTAGAAATTCTGTAAAATTCTGTAAACTGCTGATGACTGCTCTTCCAAAAAGAATTAAAATTGGGGTGTGAAATGTCTGTTTCATTTACTATGATCTATTCCACTGACACAATGAAGTGCATCAAACAGATCAACTCTCAGAAACAGCTTCTCACGGCCGTGTTGGCAGCGACGCTCCATCAGAACGATGGATTGTCACTACCTGGACCATGATGCATTGCTCTACCACAATTGTAACGCAAGAGAAAGTAACGATGGAAGTACTTCTCCGCTGACTTAATTGTGGAAGCTTGAATTACAAATCAGAACTATTATTAAAATGATGTTAAATAACAGCATCTTGTGTTATGTTATCAAGACTCTGACCTCTGCATCTTGTGACTTGGCAATCTCCACAAGTGTCTTGGCAGCAGGATGGATGACGTCCAGTAACTTGACTATCGTGGCTCCATCATTGGAGATTGTAACACCACCTGAAATGTAAGCACGGCACCAAGGAGTCATCAGTGACAATTAACATGCAACAAGTAAACATTTTAAAAGATGAGGAATCCACCTCGCCTACTTCAGGGGAGGCGGCTTTGCTGATATTACAATTTTGCTTAACCCTAACGTATTAATTTTCATGCGAGCATGGTATCCTGAATCCATCCAAATCCACCAGAAATTTAGGTGATGGATTTTGAAGACTCCGAGGAAAAACATGCTGTATTTTTTTTTTTATGCCACCATGGTATCCTGAAACCGCCAGAATCTATCAAGACTTTAGCTGGTGGACTTTAGCGGATTCAGGATACCTCCAGTATCTACACTGGGGGATTCTGATGGACTCAGGATACCAGCATTTTTTTGCGTGACAATATTGGTGAATTTCGGCGGATTCAGAATACTTTTTAGTAAAAGAGCCCCAGGAGTTACGGTTAAAGAACAGAGAATTTTACTCATCCTACCTCTAGGATCCACCATGAGTTTATCCATCCCTCGTGGGCCCAGGGTGGTACGGACGGCATCAGCCACAACCTGACAGGCATTGATGTTACTGATGACTTGAGACCGACCCTGAGAGGCCTCTGTGCCCTCCTTGAGGAGGATAATTTGTGGTTGCTATGGAAACAAACACGAAAATAAGTTTAACTTTGGGGAGAATCGATATCTAACTCCTACACAGGCATCATTTACACGACATATCGGCACAAATATCTATTTTTGAAAAATGCGTGTAAACTTCAGTTTGAAGGACTAGGCCTAACATAACAGTACAAGTATGGAGAGAAAGTATTTTGGAAAGGAAAGCCAAGTCCAAGGGAATACAAATTTGTTTGACAATGTTTGAATTCACTGAAACAAATACAAACTAGACTGGGACCTGGAGTGACAGTGAAACGTACAAAACTAAATCAGGCCAACTTTACTCACTTTTTAGCCAGCAAATTTCTCCAAAATTTTCATTGGGAAAAGAAAAGGTCCTCAGTATTTCAACAACCAAGTTTGAAGACTCAATTCGATTTATAGAAGAGACATTTCTTCAATATTTTACACACCAGAGGGAAGTCAAGTGATTTCAAAATGAGGCTAAAGACTAGACTGGTACATGTCCAACCATGGTCCAACTGTTTGAAAAAAAACCCCGACCTCTTCATTCAGCGTCATTAGTCTGGCAATCTGGCAGTGACTGACTATGGAGAAATGTGTAGTAACTAAATAGAGACTTGTTCCTAACTTGCCAAATGTTTCTTTTGGCACAGTTGATTGATGCAGTTACTGAAGCTGTGTTGGACTGGTTGTTTCAGGTGGCAGTTTTTCCCTCGTATTGCATGTTTTCAATACCTTAAGTTTTGGGACTCTCATACACAGTAAATGAGTAATGTATTTGAGAGTCCCAAATTTTCGGACTAGACCTCAACCTATCAAAAATGCCTATCCCTACACTTGCACTGACAACTAGACTTGCTAGCCCCACTAGTGTGGCCGTCGGTATGCTGCGCTGAACCTAAGGCCACACACCGTGGTACCGCGCGCTACTGAGGACGAAGTTTTCATAAAATTCAGGGCAGTTTCTTACATTCTCAGTTTCTTACTTTCTTATGGTTGTATTCTATGATGTCTCACCAATCACTTCTGGAATGCTAAGGTCTAATGATGTTCCATTTTCCGAGATATTCTTCAATCTTTCTGGAGTCCATATGCACTCGTGAAACGTCTGGTGATGGCAGCCATTTTGAATGGGACAAGAGATGACCTCAAGCTATGACGTCGCGTGTATGCAAATTGCTTGTCGAGCGCGCAAGGGCGCGAGTTGCAAATGCGACGGCTGTTTCCTGTACCATGCATTTATCGTCAGGGGGCCACGTGCACCGATCTCTATTCAGGATCTACGGCACAGGAAACAGCCGTCGCATTTGCAACTCGCGCCCTCGCGCGCTCGACAAGCAATTTGCATAAACGCGACGTCACAGCTTGAGGTCATCTCTTGTCCCATTCAAAATGGCTGCCATCACCAGACGTTTCACGAGTGCATATGGACTCCAGAAAGATTGAAGAATATCTCGGAAAATGGAACATCATTAGACCTTAGCATTCCAGAAGTGATTGGTGAGACATCATAGAATACAACCATAAGAAAGTAAGAAACTGAGAATGTAAGAAACTGCCCTGAATTTTATGAAAACTTCGTCCCCAGTAGCGCGCGGTACCACGGTGTGTGGCCTTAGGTTCAGCGCAGCATACCGACGGCCACACTAGTCATGCTGGCATGGCTAGTGGGGCTATAGACTTGCATGACTTGACAAGCATTTTTATCATGTTTATGCATTTCAATACAAGAGCACAAAGGAAAGGTAACGATAACTTAAGAAGAAAATCACAATACAAAAAGCCAAAGTAGTGCCTTACACACCTAGACTAGTGGAGTTTAATAAAATTTTGAAAATCACAAAATAGAATTTAGAAAATAAAATTTTCAGACAGGAAATCAAAAATACAGGCTACACAGCTACAAAAATAACTGAGCTTTCTCAGAGGCAATAAGGAGTACATGTACATGTACCTGCATTTATTAACCTACAAATGAAAAACAAGCATGTTAACACTTTGGCTAAAATCTTTTATAAATCAATGAGAAACAAACACTGTCCAAAATGTAAATTCATGTACGCATGGAAAACCATACGAAAGCGTATGGAAACTTCTAGAAACACGTTGGAATTCAGTAATAAAACCCACAAATATCGACATTTAGAAGGACAAAATTTCGTTAATTTTAGCATTTAAATATCTTTAAAGAATAAAACTTTCTATTGAAAGCGTAATATTTGAAACCTTTTGTCAGATTATAGAGGATTATTCAGATAAAAACGGCATATCTCACCATCATTTTGGTATCGTCTGCACTGCTGATTAGTGGAGTAACGAAATTACAACAAACATGTCCAAATAATTTAAATTTCTGTTGTCAAACAGAAAATAATCAAATTGTACATTTTCGCGTTACAAACGTTACAAAATTCAAAGACATTTTTTAAAATAAATCTTTTCCAGTTGGATTGGCAAAAAAATAAAATTATTATCGCTAGTACGAGGTTACTCCTGATGACCTTTGAACTAAAATGGCAGCCTCCTAGTCAAGTTTATCAACAAACGCAACCAAAGCATCAGGCCGGGCTTAGTACACGATTCGTTTGTTTCATGAGATTTCCAAAGTATCTTTTGCACGATGGCTTCGTCTTCTAATTCCAAGGAATCGAAATCATCAAGCCGCAAGAGAAAACATCCAACAATTAATCCGTTTTTACCAAATGAAGAATCGGGAAATCTGGCGAAGAAAACAAAAACCACAGCCTCTGCTCAGTCAAGTTCAACTTTGAATAATCCACCGGGTTCATCATCAGAAACACACGTAAAGCCAAATCTGGACGATGCAGATCATGACCAACAGTTTCTTAGTGGCATCGTTGCGTATATTCTACCTGCTGGATTGGGAAAAGCACGCACTGACATCTTCAAAAAACAAATGTCAAAATTCGGCGCAGAAGTGTTGAATGTTTGGGATGAGACACATTGCACTCATTTGGTCGTTGATGAAGGGATGGATGTTGAACGCTTGAAAAGAATCATGAAGATTGAAAAGGCTCCGTCAAACACTTACGTACTGAGAGCAAGCTGGCTAAGCCTCTGTCTCTCGGAAAATGAACTTGTGCCAATTGATAATTACAAATTAAGATTTCCGGTTATTAAGAAAGAAGACCCTTCCAAAAAGTCAGATCTGTCTTCAACATCAACTCCTAGCATAAGCAGTAAATCTGGCATTGATGGATCGGATGTTAATAAGAGTGAAACTCTCGAGAAGAAACCAAATATTTCTGACATCCCATCTAGTTCCAATGCCCCGCCCATCCAAGGAACTAAATGGACTAGTCCAGTGAAAATTGCTACGTCTGACAGGGGTTATGACAGCGATGATAGTAACTACGTGCCGAGTGATGGTGATGATTATCAGGAGTCTGTGATGGTAACGACAGCATCGGATGATGCTGGCTCATCATCCAATGTATCAACACCAGCTACATCTCCTCAAAAGCTTCCAGTTAGTTGTTGGTTTTTTTTGTTTTGGAAATGGTCAGGGATGTAGTCCAGTCCATCACAAGTCCTCCAGTCCCAATTTCAATCACAACTTATTCATATGACATTATGAGCTTTGACAAAGGATTTCCTTTCTAATTGTTCATCCATTTGTTCTTGTGACTGGACTTGCGAATGGACTTGAATACATTCCTGAAAATGGTGGTTATTAGGAGGGGAAAGGTGGGGGTTAAGAGATTTTGAATAATTATTTATACAAGAATTACGAGATCAACTGAAGTGTCATAACCATTGTTGAAATCATTGTGTTGTTTTTATTCCAGAGAGGTAACTGGGTGTGTTCCAAGCCATCTACCTCACAGCAGAAAAACCTCAATGAGCACATCACTGAAAAGCTGGAGGTAAAATATTTTCTGTGTCCTTTCAATCTGGTACCAAGGATATCCTGGGCAGTTTGATGTGTACTCAAGTTATATTTGAATTCAAAGCCCAACTTTTTTTGTGTAAAGTAGACGAAACAAAGAAATTTACTTTGTATCTAATTAATGTATCCAATTAAAGTCGGGTGTTAAAGGCTTCAGGGAACTATAAATGCAGAAAGGTGAACATAATTGACAAGAAATTGAGTCATATTTTTAGTCTAGTGCTTTGGATTAAAGTCTGTATTCTTTTTAGGTTTTGATGAAGACCTACAACAACACAAAAGATCACTGGAGGGCCCAGGGATATCGTAAGGCCATCACCGCTCTGAAGCAGTACCCTAAGGAAGTCACTAGCTGGGAGGTGAGTAAAATAGTGGGTGGGCTTCAGGGTTGGGAAGGAGCCAAAGCTTTGTCAATACTTTCGCGAAACAAGTTCCAACAGAAGATGTGTCATAATTCATCAGGACACACCAAATTCTAAGGTTCATAAACATTTTTTGAAAAAAGTTCAAAGGTAACGTCAATACTTATCTTTCTACTTAACATATTTTTCTTAGATTTCCTTTTTTATCTCTTCTTTATGTAGCCCTTGCTTTGGGTGACCCTTAAATAATGTCTCGTGATGGGCAATGCTCTCTCAAAAAGAAAAACAATCAGAATAATCCTTAAGTTAATATTTGTTCAGTGCTTAAAGAAAATGTTTCTCTGTTTTCACAGCAGTATCTTTCAACAGAAAATGTTATTTCACTTTGCTTTAAGAGGATTGATTAATCATGAAAACAGAATAGAACAGTGGCGTTTTTCACATTTTGATCATTCTATGACAGTTGTAATGAAGTCAATCACAAAATCTGGTGATGAAGAATGATACGCACAGGGAGCACTTTTGACGTCAGGCCAGATGACTTGTGATTGACTTTTGATGACTAGTTTTGATTAGAATTTTGAAATTTTTTATTTATACAAAGGAAGCCAATAAAATCCCTGGCATTGGCACCCGTCTTGCAGACAAGATCAGCGAGATCTTAGAAAGCGGACATCTGAGGAAGATTGACCATGTCTGCGGAGGAGAGGACATGAAGGCTTTGGACATCTTCAATAATATCTGGGGAGTTGGACCGACGGTGGCACAGGAATGGGTCCAACTGGTAGGGTTTGTCTTGTCAAGACTCGAGCTATGGAACAGGAAGGGGAAGATTAGGAAATGTTTCAAACTTGAAATGTGACTGCTTTGAAACGTCGTTTCCTAAGGGTGCAAGCAGTGTTTGAAACTGTCACCTGCAGGAGTTTTGAGATCCCCCCCCCCCTCCTGCTTCCTACACTTTAAAAAAAAAACAAGCAGCCATCAGTGCCTCATTAATTAAGGGAGATTTTTTTGTCCTGATAATTGCTGTGAAAGAAGTGTTTTCTTTCGAAAAATTATAAATTGAATACTGTATCACCTAAATTAAAGTTTGCACTTTGTACTGCCATTAATGCAAGAAACATGACCACTTTTGATTTGCATCAAAACATCAAATTGTAACAAAACTGTGCATATTTGTGGTATCTGCTATAATTGGAATATTTTTGTTGTCTTTATCTCATTGGTAATCTCAGGGATACAGGACACTGGACGACGTCAGAGAGAAAGCCAAATTAAACAGGCAACAGAAGATTGGCTTGAAGCACTACGAGGATTTCTTGCAACGGATGCAGAGGGAGGAGGCAGGAGAAATTGAGAGAACTGTGAGTCAAGGATTTTGGATTTTGAAATTTCCAGGTTTCTGGGTCCTAGGTTTGTTTCCAACTCAAATATTCAGGTTCCTAAGACACAGGTCTTGAACATTTTGAACAAGAGAAGAACCACATCCAGATCATAATTCAGTTGATTTCAGCCATAAAGAGGAAGCAACTTTTCACCTCACTTTTTGGGGTCAACAGAGGGCAGCAACCAAGATTTGCTTCAAGATTCCTACAAAGGTTGTTGCTGCAATATAGTAACAAATATAAAATCAGTTCCTTTTCCGTTATTGATTTAATTAAGTGTCTTTTCCTTTTGTTGCTGTTACCTTGGACAACCCCACTATTGTCATTTGTCATGATTTGGTCTATCAATGTAGAAATATTATCAGGTGTACTTAAAAAGTACTATGAATAAGACAGGATCGCAAGTAACTCTTAGCTCCAGCAGCTTCCTAGACAGACTAGAATCAAATTCTATTTTCTTGCTATCCTTAGGTCCGTGAGATGGCTGAGAGCATAGATCCAGGCATGTTGGCTGTCGTTTGTGGCTCGTATCGTCGTGGTAAAACAACCTGTGGAGACGTTGATGTGCTCATTACTCACCCTGATGGGAGGTCACACCGCGGAGCGCTGGGGAAGATACTGGATGGACTCCGAGCTAAAGGTTAGACCTGGTGGTTGGTTCGTCTGTTCAGTGGGTTGGTTGTTTGATAAATTCATCTGCAGAGGCGTAATACGTCCTTCTTGCTCAATCAAATAGTGTGCATTGACCAATTAGATCAAGAATATTGGTCAAGTGACCATGGTATCTCGGTCAAAAACTCTGTTACAAGCGCTGTGAGAAATGTATCCACGCTAGAGATGGGTGGGGCTTTTGGCCGAATTCTGAATGGTCCGTTCTGGTTGGACATCAGACATTTTCAAACCATTGGCAGTGTTTGTCCAATAAAATTAAAGTTCAGTCAAATTCTGTACTGTTAAAGTATTGCGACAGTTTTTGTCGGAGCATTTTTTTGTATCTTCTTTCACCCTCATTGTCTGTTTATAAATTTGTTGGCTGGTCAGATTGTTGATTTACTAATTTGAATCGGTTTTAATATTTACTGAATGTCAAACTGTCAAAACAAAACAGGATAAAATATATGAATTCAGGCACACAATTTGTTTTGTTTTGTAAACACTCTGTAAAAATACACAAATATAAGCACTGTTTATTAACCAGCTGCGCTTATGTCACATTTTGAAGATCATAGTGTGCATGCCGTTAATGGTTGCAGATCAGTAAACAGATTGCCCTAGTCCTCAGTGATTACTATGCCCACTTCCAAAAATTAGGAAAAATACTCAAAGTCTCCAAGGTGATCGAGACACTCATCAAATTAATGCTCATTTCGTCATCTTTCATTTTCTGTTCAATTTTTTTCGGGGGGGGGGGGGGGGGTTAACCAATGACTTTTGGGAATTACATCCTAAAAGTACTCCTGAAGCCCATCGCCATTGTGAAAAAGAATGCCTATCCTCCATTGCAAAATCGAGCAATTTTAGGGCCCAATTTCATCCAAATGTCACAGAAATACAATGTTGTAGTCCTCTTAATGGCCTCCACCTTTCTTTTTTAAAAACCTTCAAGTTCATGGCCAACAAAATGCTCTAATTGCAAAAATATAGAGGGCTTGCAAATCGTGATTTGGCCGGTGTAGGCCATTTTGGGCCCATTTACTGGCCTGCACCCTTACTTTTTTTCTATCCCAATAACTAAATTGTGAAAATGCATACACACAAATACATGTTCCCCTTTTATACTATGGTGTGCTATAAATACGAGCATGTGTTAGGTAGAAATATCTTCCTTTCCCAATAGTACAATGGCACAAATGTTAGTAAAAGCTGGGAAGAATGTTTAATACATACTTGTACTAGAAACATGAAATATCATACACTCTTTCTGGCTAACATGGTGTGAAGAAAATGATAGGCAGGATTATAGATCACATGTGCAACAAGGTGGAGTAGGAAAAATGTGGCTGACGCACTTCATGCCGAATTCCGAGCACAATACGCAAACAAACGCTGTAAGTGTTTGAACATATATACGTCAGAGGACGGTCCTAAGTCTTGTATAACTAATCTATTACAAACAGATGCGTAGATTGCTTCCAAACGCATCCGGAATTGTGTTAAGTCTTGATCGCACAACTGGAATTCCAATATTATGATATTTTTTTTTCAAAAAGAATATCAAGAATGTGGGAAGAGGGGAAAAATGTTTGAATGCAACTTTCCCAAATTGAGCTTATTTTCTGTTGACAAATTCTGTTTCCTTTTTCTTGTAAGAAAATAGTGTTTTGTTAAGAAACAGTAACCCTGACTTCCATATTGGTTTAAATTTTGCCCTAAAATATATAAATTTCTTCAATAATTTCAAAAAATAAACCCCGACTCAATTTATTGCATCATACGAAGACCAGAAACTCAGATCTGTAAAGGTGTGGCCATCATTATTTCGACGCAAACCGGAGGTGTGTAAGAACACCTGTGCCCAACCTAATCAATATTATTGATTCCTGTCAATTTGTTTTAAATTACATTTTAATTTTAGAATCTACATTCAGTTCCTAGAATGAGAAGAGGTAGAGTTTGTGGCAAATAAAAAAAAAAAGAAGGAGACATTTGTGTTGGATTCTAGATGCCCTAGGACCAGATTGAGGATGTTTCATTATGGCTGGGATTTATTTCCGAAACATCAATATTCTTGATGACAATTTGTATGGCCCTTCACTCTTTACTTTGAGAAAAAAAATTGTCACAGTCTTTGAGTTGCTACATATGGCAAACCGATATGGGCCCAAATAACATCCACGTGCTTGAGACTCCAAGCAATTAAATCAGCTCTATAAAGCTTAGTCTGAATTCTGTATAGTTAAGGCAATTAATTTTATGTCGAACTGTTAAAATTCAGTTATTGAATATATCCTGAAGACATCACAGATTTCAATTGAAAAACAACTAGATGTTAGTGACAAAGGTTGAAAGCAAAGTCCTCCAAAACAAGGTTAAAATTTTGACGTTCAGATGGGCTTGGAGATATTCTTTTCAAGTTGAAATTTATTACTGCAAGAAAATCCAATCTGTGAAAAGCTCTTCAATCACGAGATAATTTGTCAGTGTCCTCCTTATATAATCTCAGATCATCTGACAAAAAAAGGAAGATTTAATGAGGTCCACAAGAGAATCATCTTCTTTGGAGATCCAATCATTTTTCCCCGGCCACTCAGTAACCCCAACTAATTATCAACAATGGCAGCTGTGACGTCAACGCCTCAAGAACAAACACAAATTAATCATGAAATAACTGTCAGGGGGTGATATTGCATTGTCGGTATTTACAGCGCCCATGAAAGTTGCTAAGACGTAATCAGGTAAGATTCATTATCCTGCTAAAAAATGTGTCCTCAGGATTCCATATCGGATGGGGAAAGGCTCATCCATTGCTATGGCAACTAAAGCATCTCGGGCAAAATGGAACAAAGTTGTTACAATTCTAGGGCACGTGTGCAGAGGAAAGTGAAACACGTTTTTAAGATCAGTGTGTAAATGCAGGACTTTTAGTTTTGAATTCTGAATGAATACTGTGTGTGTGTGGGGGGGGGGGGGGTGCCCGGACCTCATGTAACGCTAGAGGGCACTCTTTTCCCTCGTTTTTCTTATCTCTCTTTTTATTCATATTTCATTATCTCTCTTTTCATTTATACGAGGCCTACATATTTCATGTACTTCTAGCAGGTCTTCGGTAGCCCATTGTTGTATTACAAAAACATGGCAGTCATCAAATGGACCAATCAACAGCTTAGTCCACATTTCTGTTGGAAATGACGTCACAATTTCTGAAGTCGACTCGCGGCTGGCGCGCGGTGTCGCATAAAATGTGCCTGCTAGGATAAATCAGACGTTCGTTCGTGTGGCTCTAGGGCACTTGGAATTTGTAGTGGCGCGAGTTCTTATTTTTCTTTTTTATATCCCCTAGTGGTTTCTTTTAATTCGATTTATGCTCCTATTAAACTGATTAATAGTCGTGTAATACGCGTATTACGTGCACGTTTGTACAAGTACGCAAATTGGTCGAATGAACGTCAGCCCATTGGCCACGTAAATCCTCGCCTTGTTTCCAGCGTCACTGGTTACATTATCCCAATTAGCGCATCGTCAACCCGACACTGGATTTCTATCATTTCTTTCATATACAGCCCTATCAGGCAACGTATTTAATTTGCGCCAATTTCTCAAAGAGCCCGGGAACGGCCTGGCCTGGCGCGTGCGTCCCCCCGATATGAAACACGAGCCCTCGGCTTCCGTGCCGGACATTAAAAGCATTGAACTGGACCGTGGAGTTGATAGCTTTTACACCTCACATTTTGGCTTCTTGCCGAGCATAAAAGGAGGATGTAATATTAAGTGAAAGGAAGTGTGCAGGATATAGTACGTACGTATTTCCTTTTCTTTTAATATGTGAGGCGGGCTGGAGTGTGTCTTCGGGATGCAGGCTACCTCGTTGATCTTGAGTTGGGGGGGGGGCTTAATCGAAATTCCTTGAAATTTCTTCGTTATGAAATGAAGATGTAGAGGGATTTCATAACGCAATTTGAAAAGCAATTGTTTCTATTTTGTATCGCAGTGTTAATGCGCATTGACGTTTTTGAACGACTGGAACTTTGTATAAAGCATTGCATTAAGCTAACGATTCGATAACTTTTTCAAACTTTAAATTTGAAAAGTCCTCAAGCTTGTCAAAAAGTTGAGTTAGCGTCTAAAGCAATAATTATAATTAGGTTAAGGAGCAATGGCACATTCTTACAATTAGGGTCTTAGTTAATGGAGCTTTTCAGCACATACATTTTCTGAGCAAAATATTCTGTTCCGTTCCGTGAAATTTGCCTGAATTTGATACGTGAAATACAAATGCCAACTAAATATGTTATTTTCCTCGGGTGAAGACTTACCGAGATGCGAAGCCAAACACAACTAAGACGCTGAAATAATGCGGACACTGAATTAGGGGTACACGGCGCACCCCAATGACGTAGCAAAGATGCTCATCCCTTCGCCAATAGGCAGAAAGGCAAGCACACATCATAGGCTCCGAATTCGACTTAGCAAGAACTGGTTCTCAATCTATGCACTTACCATACCAAAACAGAGCCAATTAATGCTAGACTATGCGCTTACAAAGAAAGTCCGCAGCCGCTATATTGGGTTCCACGAATTTGATGCGAGTCGTAGCCTTAAAAGCTTGAGCTTTAAGCGGTCCCGTATTGACATTCTGGAGCTCGTCGGTGGGTTGAGTTTAATTGGCGAGGAAAATGTCGAGTTTACTGAAAGAGCGCGCACCGACTAAAACGTTTTGCGCTCTCGCTACAGCCATGTGTCTTCGCTTAACCTTTTAAAGTGGGGAACTGACGTAAACTAGATTCTGGAGAAAGAGGCTGCATGAGTACATTGTCAACTTCTAAGTTACAAGACGACACACATTGCAAAGTAACCGTGCACGGACAGGAAAGAGGTATCGTCAGCTATAGTGAAAGCTTTTTTCATATGAACTGGAAAAAGGTTGTTCTTGAAAACGGAGAAACTCTCGAGATTTTGAGATATGACAGAGAGACTGCGCGA